TGTGTGTCATCAATCCAGACTCATCTGGCTGTTTCCACAGTTACCAACAATAGTTGTGGAGGAGGAAAAGCATAGGATTGTCATGTTGGTTTGTCATCTCAAAGGTGCTTTGTCACAATCACATTGACAAAATTATAGAACATGAATATTCTTCAGGTATTTAGCAGATAATTATTTGAAGACTTGCATTTATGTTCTTGTATGAAGCCACTGAAGTATATAAAATTAGCATTTGCTTGGATTTAATTGGGGCTTCAGTGACATTGCTCAAACACAGCCTAATTAAGGCTTCCATTTTAACAAGCAGTTCAGCCGGGGTCTGTGCTGTGTTGACTCACCAGCTCAGTACCAGCTGCTGATCCAGAAAACCACAAACATGCTCCAGCCGTGCTCATGGCACATGGAGTCACGGCACAACCAAACATTGTTATAATTGAATGTTAAGCATGACGTCTGTGGATGAGGACAGATGTGTCAGTAAGGTTAAGGCTGTGTAGCTGGGCCAGACTTTTGAGTCAGATCAGGCACACCCAGCTCTGCATACGTGTTCAGCAGACACATTACCCCTCCTGGGCCAAGCGGTCTGAAAAAGCACATTGCTCGAGCATCATCAGTACAATTAAAAACTGAAACCTGTTCTGCTGTCAGCATTTACGTGCATGGGGTCACTCTCAGGCAGTGAGGCAGACAGACAGTAACTGCTGTTGTCTCCACTTTCCTGTTTGTCCATCAGGAACAAATGTAGTGTTGTTTATGCACCAGACCCCTTTGTCACTACAGCCGTTTCTCTTCTGTTCGCTGTTTTCTCTCCATAAGTGCAGGACAATGGTTTTCTAGTACTAAAAAAACACCAATGGATTTTGTTTGACTTGTTTTCTGGTGGAAATTTCTCTGCAAGGCTGTAGGTCAGGCAGGGGACAGCAAAGGTCAGGTCAGGAGAGGAGAGGACCAAAAATATGCTGACTACATGTTTGCCTATTGGAACAAACTACACAGTAAGGCCGGAGAATCCCTGGTTCATTAGAGAAAGGGGAGCAGACACAGAGGGTGAAAAATAAAAAATTTAGGTGACCAGCAAAAATTGAAATAATACTGTTTTCGGTCAGTTGCTACGGTTCAACCGGTTGATTCCAAAGGCTGTGATGAAGATGTTGACTACCACAATGATAAAAACCAGGCCTGTGGCCACGTTTTCCACAGTGTTGAGTCTCCAGTGCCTCTGTTCATCATTCAGATTCCAGTGAACTGCAGACAAAACCAGGAAACCAACTTTAACAGCATACAAACACACACTCAATGAATGTCTAATAAAACATCAGCAATCCACCCTATTGTGGGAATTTAGCCAATTCATTGTGATGCAGATTTACTGTCAACCATAAATTAATGTTAATTCTGGGTTCAGAGAGCTCATATGTGCATGAGTGATTTCATAAAATCATCAGTTCATTTTCACAAGAATATATAATGAGTATTAAGGAATAATATGATTCAGTTTTTCACTGACTATATTTGGAACCAGAGATGAGGACGACTGAAAAAAAAAGCCTTTTTCGTTCAGTGAAATACAAAATCTTCTTGGTACAACTGCCTGGTATTATATAAGTAAATAACAAAAATATTTGACAATTTTTGAATTTAAATTAGTTTAACTGAAAATATTTTATTGGTTCCCCAGGGGAAGGCACAAACACCCACATAAAGATAATACAAAAATTAAAAATACCATAATGTAAGAAAAACACTAGCATGATAATATAAGAAAGAAATATGGGAATACAACTGAAACAAAACTAATCAGCAAAAGCCTGTATTTCCTGTATATTATTGCTTCATTTCATTTGTACTTTTATAACTCCTTGATCTAAACAAAATGATGAAATAACAACTAATCCATGCTGTAATAGTGATACAACAGGGAATGACCTATGAATAACACAGAAATGAAGGTGTGATAAGGAGTGTGTGTGTGTGTGTGTGTGTGTGTGTGTGGGGAGTATACGATACAGAAGCTGTGACTCTACAGGCACCTGTTGTGTGTATATGCGTGCACGTGTGTATGTGGGGGAGATTACCAAAGGTTAAACTCTAAATAGGATCTGCCTGGTTGTGTGTGTGTGTGACTGATCTGTCCGGGGTGCGGTGGGCTGGGGTATGGGGGTGTTGTGGGGTATGTAGGCCATCCATCCATTTACCGTCCATCCATTACCATCCATTTATACCGCTTAGTCCCAAATGGGGTCACGGGGGGCTGGAGCCAATCCCAGCCAGCTGCAGGGTACACTCTGGACAGGTCGCCAATCACAGGGCTAACACGCAGACGAACAACCACTCATACACAATCACTCCTGTGGGCAATTTTAGAGACACCAATCAACCTATGCTGCATGTCTTTGGACTGTGGGAGGCAGCTGGAGCACCCGGACAGAACCCATGCAAGCACGGGGAGAACATGCAAACTCCGCACAGAAAGGCCCCGGGTCGGCCAGGGCTCGAACCCGGAATCTTCTCGCTGGGAGGCAAAAGCGCTAACAGCTGCCCCCGTACGTAGGCCAGTCACATCATTTAACACTGACTTCATTAGACAGAGCAGGATCTATGGGAGAGGGAGAGGAGGACTGGGGGAGAGCAGAGAGGGGAGTGGGGTTCACAACAGTCAAAGGACGTGAAGGAAGAGGAGAGAAGAACCAGGATGTGTTTGACATGTGAGGGACACATGAGTTGGTGAATGGAGGGGGCAGGTGTTCATGAATGTTCTCTAATGCTGATTGACCTTTGTGACCTGTGATCATTTGAAGTGCATAAACAAAATCTTATCTAGCAATTAATTCTCATTGATTATAATAATGATTATTAATAACTATTGAGTTTTTGACAAAAAACAAATTCACAAACTGATAAATTATTAATCATTCTACTGTGAAAACTGAATTAAAATTTAATTACATCAAACATTCATGGGGGTGTTTTCTAAAATATTTGATTTGATAATTGATTATTTTTAGGTTATTACTGAGAGAATTTCAAGAATGGACAGGCTACTCCCTTACTTACTCCTCCTAGAGCTGAGATGAGTCAGTGTGACCTGGCTAAAGTTCACTGACTGAACTACAGTTGGATCTGCACTGCAATATCTCATCCTAACTTCCCTTTTTAAATACAGATGTCCTCATTATCCCTGGGTGTGTGAGTGTCACTTTTATATATAATTTATTTTCTTTCTGTTCTCTAGACATGCACACGGACAGATACTGACACATTTGTGCACATACACAGTAGAGAAATGAATCGACCTCCCTTCGCTCCCTTGATTCCCATGAATGCTGACAGCAGCATTAAAACGTAGTCACGTCTGACCTGGTGTCAGGCTTGGTTGCCATGGTTACACCTAGAGTCCAACTAGTAATGGGTTGTTAGTTGAAAGTCAGAGGACTTGACATTTAAGCCTAGGGGATGCATTGTAGGGCACTGTAGCAGGTTTCAATCTCGCCGAAGGACAGGGAGGTAGAAGGGGATGAAACAGGAAAGGCAAGTAGCAGGTGAGAGATGTGAAGCTTACCAGACAACAAAAATGCCTCTGGTATAACAAAAGGGCTTGGGCTCTGTTTATTTCCTCACCTATGAAGATGAGCAGGAGCCCGACTATGACCTGCAGACAGAGGGAGATGCTGATCAGGGTGATGATGGGGGCATAAAAGGAGAGGTTTGCCCCTTGCTCCAGCACAGCCTTTAGCTGGGAGGCGTTGGCCAACAGAAGAGCCACATCCAACATGCTTTCAGCTGCACTCTTCTTATTGGCATAGTGGTTCATGTTCATTGTTGTGGGGCTGTTGGGCCAAGCGTCTGGATGGGAGGCCTGGGGAGAGAAGAAATAAATGGGCTCACAGATACTATTTACGGCTATCAGATAATGCCTGAAAGAAAGCCTGTCTATAAACAGAACTGAATGTTCTGTGCTGTGTTTTGTTCTCCCAGCAAGGCAGCATGTTGATGAGACTAGCGGTAATTCTGTACTTTCTGTGCATTGGTGGCAAGGGTCTGGTTAGCACTCTGACCTAAGTAGCTCAGCAAACAGCCATCAAAGAACCGAGGCCTTTAAAAACAGATTAGTATACGGTAGTAAAAAGATACTGACTCAACGGTAACAATCTCAGTGAGCTCCAAGCATAATACACGGCATGTGGTTCTGCGAGCTGCACTCTCAACTCCCTTGTTGACTTTTCAAATCAAAGTAGTGTGTCTGACTGTCTAAACATACTGGTAGTGAGTGACACTGTGACCCTCATGTTCTGCTCATATGCCTGTCCCTGAAAGCTGGGTTACAGAGTTAGATGGAGAACTGCACTGAGTAAAACTTCATTATTCTTGCTTTGTGTGACGCACTCTTTTTCTGAATACTGGCGTTTTACTTATAGTACCTACAGTATACTGAGCAGCACACAACATGCACTAAAACACACATGCGATTTTATTTACAGTATTAAATACACCTAGAAAGGAGGTATCCTTTCTATGAGAAATCAACAGTTGATAACCAAAAGTCCTAATTTCAAGGTGATTCTTATGTGGGTGATAATTACATAACAAAAGGTTAGCTAGTTTTGTGTGTGTATCCACTCCGTGCCAGTGAACTCTGCACCGTAAAGAGACAAACATGCACTGGGCCAGCAGGTGCTGGATAAATAGTCTGCTTGGTGATAAATGAGAAATCACTCTCTTTTAAAATCATGAAAATATATCTTCTTTTGAGACACTGCTGCCAAATGAACATCCACTCAGTCTGTTGTTTGACGCTGCCTAGCTAACACCTGAGCACATCACTGAGGATTTGGTAGCGTCAAGGCCAAAAAAAGAAGACATTTTGCAAACATGAAGTGATCATTGTGGCTCACTGTTTTTTTTCTGAACATGAAGGCCTTCCTTTTTTCTCACAACACACACCTGCAGCTGCAGAAGGCACAGTTTGCCAGAGATTAGCCAAACCCCTGAGCTGGTACAATCTGCCTTCCCTCTGTTCCAGGGATAGATACAATAGAAGAGCTGCACCCTTTAATTTGCTGCTACAGCTGAATTACAATGTATTTGGAGATTCACAACAATCAACTGGCATGGTTAAAGTTGATGTATTGGGGGGGTATAAACTGCAAGTAGGCGTGGTCCCGGGGGTTGGAAAAGAGCCAGTATTCCAGTTGCAGTAATTATTTTGACGAGTTTTCTTTTGAGTCCTGTGATAACTACTGGACAAGCTATGTTTTATTCCCTTAATAAGTCATTGCTTTGTAGGATGTGGATTACTGTATGTGTCACTGACCAAGTTCGCTAATTGGCAGTGTACCTCTCAGTGTAAATTTTATAATTTCACATGAGACATTCTGACAACACCCAGAAAACCTTCAAAAAGGTTTCTGTGGGATTTCTCCAAATCCTTTTCATTCAGAGTCATAATGTCTTCAAAACATGTGTCCCTACATTCCACTGGAAAAGCGACATGGTGTGGTGTAGTGCCCTCGTGACTGTGATTTGCCACAAGTGGCACACTATCATGACGTGTCAGGGTCGGCCATTCTGCTCCCAAACACAAGCTTTTCAAACACAGCCCTTTATCTCAGAGTCAACAAACCGCAGTGAGATAATGCTTGTTGTGAGATCACAGGTCAGTTTGTCTAGAAACGCAGCAGAAGAATTTTCTCCAAGATTCACCAACAAACATAGTTCACTATGTTTGTTGTAGGGCCACAGTAGGGGCTGCCTCAGTCAGTCTGGATTAATCCTGTTGTCTACTCATATCCTGTAGCTGAGAAAAAAAGCACTATAAATAATCACAGCAGAGGAGGCAAAAAATAATAGGCCATGGTATGTCTCTACTGTACTATCATGTGGGGAAAAAAAACACGCTGTATGTGCAAAAACCCAAATTACAGGCTGCATCTGATCCAGGCTTTCATGTGGATAACACTTCACACTGAAAAACACACAATACACCCCACATTTGCATATTTGCCTGGCTTTTGTTTTCCCCTCAGAGAACCAAACCGCTTGTCCCTCACACAACCATTACAAATCCGCTGTTATTGTGCACAATCCAGAACAAAAGGCTCTCATAAAGTCAGTCGCTCTGTAGTGGTCCTAGGCTTCAGTGTTGATTCTTTTCACATGGCATTCCTTGTTTGAATTGGCCTCAGTGGAGAGAAAACAGGAAGAAGATGTGATAAGGGAGCGAAGGCAGTGAGAGACAGAAAAGTTGTCCGACTATGTATTAACTGTTATGAGTCACAGCGGAAGAACAGAGATTCATGTAATAACATTTAACATTGAATTCTTTCTGCAGTATCACATCAGGCATCAAAAATATCAATATGTGGTGAAAGAAAGTAGCACAGAGATAATCATTCAGATAATTTATTTATAGAGGAACTCTTAAAACATTAATGTGCTATGGTGAGAATTTAAATAATTACTTGAATGAATCTGTGAATTTGATTTATAAATATATAAATAAATAAATAACACTCAAACAACCTAAACTGCTTGTTCCATTGTGAGGAAATATTCAAATATAACATTTTCCTATTCTAACCTTATCTTTAAATACTTTTAATATTAAATAACTTATGTGCACTGTATAATAAACAAATATAAAATGGACAATTATAGCCACAGTCAATTTTATGTAGACTAAGTGATAAAATTGATCTTCTAAAGAGCATTCAAAAAGTAAACTGAAGAGAAAATCTGATAGTGGGCTCGGAAGGTTGACGGTTCGATTCCCAACTTGTCCAGTCCACATGACGAAGTGTCCTTGAGCAAGACACTGAACCCCCCAGTTGCTCCTGGTGATATTACTGTTGTGTGCCAAATAGTATGAAAGTGCTTTGAGTGTGGTGCAATGCATAGAAAAGCGCTATACAAGTATATTTGGGAAGAACAGTAGAAAATGATTTTACCTGGACTGTGTGATATGAACTGTGCTGAATAACTAAGCAACCTGGAAGTGAAATACAAAGAGGTCAGGCAAAACAAAACAGAGATTTAAACTGGTGCCATTTCATGTGTTGATTTAAAAACAAGAAGAAATCACTTCTTCTTTACATCCGCAGCTTCCTACTACCCTTTCACTCATGAGTGAATAATGTTGTGTCCTATCATAAATAACTTTCTTATTGACTGCTGCATCGTGGCTGTGATACAGTAGGCTCTGGATTTGCGACCTCTGAAAAGGCTGCAGTTTCTAAACTCCTGGGATTGGACCCAAACCGTAAACATAATTGAACCATAAAACAGGTTTAATTGAGTACTCAAAGGACAGCTAATGCTTTGGCTGACTTCCAAGCAACAGAAATGAACTCATTCAACTTGCACACCCAATCCTAAACTTTACCCCCTTTTCCCACATCATCACACTAAGTGATTACAGTTAAGCTGAATATCTGCATGTCAGTTGCTGAGAGCATATGTCATGACTATTGCTTTGTACCACTAAGCCCTGTAAGTGACATGTGGAAAGCTCTTTGCAGCAGACGCCACTTAAGACATAGAGAGATCCCACATTTATTATTTAGTTAATCGAACTCACTGCTGTTCAGCAACACAATGAAAAAGTAAACGAACTAGCATCTGTAACTGCATGAGTGTCTTTTCCCACCTTTTTTTGTCTTCTCAAAGTTCAGCACTTCTTTGTCCTCCATCCATCATGCCCTATCCACCTCCCTTTCTCTCTCTCTTGCCTCAAACTCTGGCCCTCTTCCAGATGAGGATCGACCCAACCGTAAATCAAATTTCCATGATTCTCTATAGGGCTTTTAGTTTTACAGCCTTACACGGCGCAAAGCAAACATGGGCGATGGAGTGTGGTCTACTGCGCGATGGCACTTAGAAATCAAACACTCTTATTCTAGAGAAAGTTACACTGATTGTTAAAGCAGACCTAGGAATGTGCTGTACTAAAATCTGACACAGAATCTAATTGGTCTTAGATTTCAGTATTACACAAGCATACAGAAAGTCTGCATATAAGCTCTTCACTCCACAAAACAATCATGGATTGATTTCATTTTTATTGATTCGGGACATACATTGTAAATGAGACTGTTGCTCATTTTATTGAGCATAAGAGTTTGATATTTTGCATTTGTTGGCTAAGCCCAAAAGGAAGTATCTCTGATCTCTCTGTCTTTCTTCCTCCTCCATTCTTCCTCAAACACACACACATCTATCTGGAATTAAATGGAGCTACTAAGACAGTGACTGTGGATATGAAACAGTAAAACCCATTTCCTTGCCCTGTAAAACTGGATGCAGCTATTGGATGTTGTAATTACTTGTCAGATAGCAACTTCAATTGCCACATAAAACACTATAAACATTTCTTGTACTGCAACAACTAAGCTGTGGCATGCTGTGTGTAAAACTGTGTGTGCATGTGTTTATGTGTGCATTTTAGCCAGTGAACTGGAAACAAGAGAGGGCATTTATTATTTATAAGGTCACTCAGGTGCCAAGAGTGTTACACTCCTCAACTGAACTAAGCAGTCATCTGACCCACAGGAAGATCTTTATATGTTTTCCTTTCACTGACATGTTTTTGTGTGGACATTCAATCTATAATATTCAGCATAATTTCAATCCTGTTCTGTTTGTTTTACCTCATATGGCCGATATGTTAAATTTGAGGAGGGGGGAAAGCAGCATGGATACTTTGACATGATCAGCTTACATTAAAATGCAACAACACTGCAAATTATCCATCCATCCATCCATTTTCCTCCACTTATCCGGGACTGGGTCGCGGGGGCAGCAGTCTAAGCAAAGATGCCCAGACTTCCCTCTCTCCAGACACTTCCTCCAGCTCCTCCGGGGGAATGCCGAGGCGTTCCCAGGCCGGCCGAGAGACATAGTGTCAGGTTTGGCGTGTACAGATGCCAAACAGAGGTTGTGGTGAACTCAATTAGAAAACCAGACGAACCGAGGTAGCGACAAGTTCTTTACT